GAATTACCTGGCATTCGTCGTCAGAATCGTCCATGTTTGTGTTGAAAAACAGAACGCTGAAAAGCGACGTGACGCAATTGGCGGGAAAGAAGACAGGAGCCTGCACTCATTGTGGTCAGTTGAATGAATACCCAACGCTAACTACCCCTCTGCTACCGACTGCCCTATCTCCAATAATATCTTTTCATATTTCAAGCTGATACCAATTTATTTTTGTTTATGTTAGTTTTAAAAATTTAATTTTACATATTTTTTTCGCATAATTATGATAATTATTCGATGTTCCGGGATGTTCCGGGATGTTCCATGTTCCTGGTTTTACCGACGGTCTTTTCAAAACATGTTTAACTTTTGCGGGGAGAATAATTGACTCACGTTTTTCGCCTGGGATTTCAACATTTTGCCGTTGACGAGTAATTTAAGGAGTTTACAAAAAAAATCTTAGCAAATTTACAATATTGAGACTGGTCGTATAAGCTGCATCCACTGATGAAGTCAAATAAAGAAAATATCGAGTAGAGTTGTTAATTACAGGAAGCAGTTTCTTTTAAATTTCTAACAGTTCATGAATGTAAACTAAAGCAGATGTTTACTCATGTGGTTTTCTCTGCGCTAATTTTTGGATTTAAATTCAACAGGTACTGAATTGCGGAGTAAATTAAACAAACATATGTTTGCCAGGAAAAGAAAGTTATCAGTCATTTATGCTACAAATAGGAGATAGAACTGGTTGATCTTAGCCTTCAGAGTTAAATGTTCTCGTGAAAAGTTTGGTTTGTTTTAGTTTACTAAAAATAAGAAAATTTAAACGATAATGAATGGATCATCTTCCACAAACGCTGTTTTAAATGAAGTTAAGGGTAATACTCAGTTCAGTTTATTGGTATATTGAGGATATTGCATTTACTTGTAGAAGCAACAGCGGTACAAAATTTCTTTGCTTTTTCGTCAGTAAAAAGCTACTTCCCATATTACCTGATCTGGAATGGTCCATTTCGGATTTTTAGGAGTTTGTGTACAGACTAAGGCAAAATACGTTTTATTGATCTCTCCTCTGTTTGAAACCATATACTTAAACTAATAAATGTTATTTTTTTTGGCCAAAACCTTCCAAAATGACCGCTCTCACTTCATAACAGGCCATTTTCTTTATTGTTGTATCTCAGTATTTCTCGATGAAGTTCAAATTTAGGGCCGGGAGTGCCGTTAAAGTCGCGGATATGTCGCCACATTGTGGGCAATAGGCCATCTTTGAAGAACAAATTAG